AAATTCTATAGAAAATTTTTTATTTTAATTCTGAGTCAATAGAATTAAAATAAAAATATTTCATCAAATTTGGTTAAATAATTGTTAAGAAATCTTTTGCTTAAAGTTAAAAAAAAATTTTTTAACTAAATTCGATAAATTTTTTATTTATTTTAATTCTATATATATATATATATATATATATATTAACTTATAGAATTAAAGTAAAAAAAATTCACTAAAATTAGTTAAGCATTTATCGAAAAATATTAAAAAATCTCTAAAATTTTAAAAGGATCTTCATGCCCTCGACGTATTCCAACCCGGAATTTTGGGATCCCCCCTGCATGATATGATATGTGCAGTTGAATTTAGTGATACACAAGTGATACAAGTTAACGAGAAAACTGCATTGTGTTTTATTCTTTACAGTATAATTTCAAGGCACTTCTTTCTAAGGTATTAAAAATTCTCTGACTTTAGTTTTATACTTTAAGCAATGGACAACGTTAAGAAAGTGAGTAATTCTATTCTGGGCGTTGATGCAGGACAATGTTACCGAACAAAGCTAATTACATCTAGAACAAAATGATATTTTAATATTATTTTTGAGCGATTATAAGTAGAATAAAAGAAGTCACATAGTTATAACGATTTCTTGTTTCAAATCAAAACTAAAAATTCATAATATTTTTTTTATAGAAACTTGATAAATTACGTGCTGAAACCGATGCTGCAGTTCAGCGCGCAGAAGAAGCGGAAGCTCAATATAAAAAAATCGAACAAGAATTGACTGCGAAAGAGCAGGAGAATATTTCTCTTCAAAATAAAATTGCGCTTTTAGAAGCTGAAGTCGAACGAGCAGAGAAAAAAATCTCGGATGCTAAACTTGCTAAGGAAGAAGAAGAAAATACTAAGAACGTCTCAGAAGGTCTTCAGAGAAAAGTCGCTTTACTTGAGAATGAGTTGGATAACACCGAAAAAAATTTGAGAGAGACAACAGAAAAGTATATATAATTTATAATAAGCCGATAGCATATGAAATAAATATTATTAGTTAACGTGATCTATTTTTTATTTAAAGACTACGTCAAACAGATGTTAAGGCAGAACATTTTGAACGTAAGGTTCAACAACTTGAAACGGAAAAAGCAGAATTAGAAAAGCAGCTCGAAGAAATGACTAGCAAATTTCAAGAAGCCGAGAAAAAATATGACGAGGCAATTAAACAACTTGATGAATTTTAAAATCGAATGTGTTTAATAAGTTAATTGTTAAAATAACATGATTTACAAGAAATTAGTTATTCGACAGAATATATTAATATTATTTGATAGTTATCTTTATTATTTGCTGCTAATGGTTTGAAATAAAAATATTAATTTTTCATTATTTTGTAATTAAAGATTGAAATCATTTTTGGTCACGCTTAATAGTAATAAATTCATAATTATATAGTGGTTAATGAACTTTGATCTGAATATTAAACGGAATATATTAAATCATTTAAATATTATAAATTGCTGCGTACAAAATTAAACGAAACGTTACTGATTAATTAGTTTAGAATCTTACCGGTAAAAACTAAAACGTCAACCTCAGAGTCATCCTTATTTCTTGATGTCCGTTTCTAAGGAAAAGGTTTAACAATTTCAAATAAGAATAAACGTTTTGAATAGTGTTAGCTACCAGGCACATGATTAGTATCGTAACCTACCATATATACCAGTAGTAGAGATGTAATTTACATAATTCATCATATGAGTGTCGCATGGGCAATTCTAAAAATAGATTATTATGAATTTCTATTTTTAGAATTGTACGTTTTCCTTAGCGGCACACATATCGATTATACATATCTGATATAATCTTTTACGCACGCACGTACGTACGTACGTATGTAAAAGTTGGTCTACATTATTGTCACACCGGGTACTGTGTACAAGTACTTGTCAAGATTCTTCTGTATTTTTAGATGTTGCATTGGTACGTACGTACCTTAATTGAAGTAACGATATCCACTTAATCACAATATATATTACATAAACAATCGTTATGAAAGTATTTACCTGATCAATAAACAAAAACGCAAGAATAATTATTATTCTCTGATACATCTACAATTTTGGATTTGAAATGTGAGACCCGAAATAATAACATAAAAACTTTAGACGAAATGTATTCAAATATAGAATATAAAATTTTCACTATTATTATACATGGGTGTCTAAATTACTCCTCTTAATAAAAAATTGTGGCGAAATTAATTTTCATATTTGTCGAAATTCTTAGTGAATTATTTGAATTCTTTATGCCAAAATACATTAATTAGGTAGTATAGCTACTTTGTGGAATTCATATAAAAAACTAGTACGTAATATCGAAATGTTTGTCAAAATTACCTTTTTTAAAAAAAATAATTTAGACACTCATGTATAACTATTACTGTATTAAAATTTAACAAACCTCAACCAACATGAATTTATTCCAGTTCCACAAATAAGAATTCCACGTGGTGTAGTGAGTTATGGAATGATTAGATAAAACAGAAAATAAATAAACGAAAATGGTAAACATAAAAGATTTCTTGATTTGAGATCCTCAATAATTTCATCACTGCCAAATATGTTAAAAAAAACCTTATCTGGAAACTGCTTATTTTAAAATATCGAAATACATTAGATTATTTGAGAAAAATAATTTAACTAATAAAATACCTTTGTCTGAAATTCACTTACTATAAATTTGAAGGCTTAATAACTTGGGAGTTTCTTCAAAATTCTGTACCTAACATACATGTGTGAATTATCTGGATCCTTGCAAAGGATGGCAGAAAAAATACAGTCTTCCTCCTCTATAATCACGCAGTTTGTATCAAGAAAATTAGTGATTATAAAAGAGTGTGATTATATAGAAGTATTTTTTTATAAGTTTATTAATAAATCGTCTCAAAATTTAATGTGATTGCACAGGAGTTGTGATTATATAGGAGGTGATTATAGAGGAGGAAGACTGTATTTAATAGTTAATAATGTTAGTATTTAAATTCAAATTTTCGCAATATGCATCTCAACAAATAGAAATTCTATCATGCAATATGAAAGATAATAAATCAGGTTCTTTGGACAACTAATTAAATTAAAAATCAATGATAATGGTAATGATACTAATAATAAATATCTGATCTCTGCATGAATTTCCTAGACATTCCATTGATCCAGTTAATTAACTTTACAATTCTTGAAAATAATTTTACTTATACTTTATAATTTCAATTTCATAAAAAAATTCATAGATAAAATTTAAAATTAAAATTTAGAATTCAAACCTGATGGTTACTTGCAAAAGCATCGGAAATAACATTGATCCCGTTCAATGTGACAATAGAAACTGTGATGTTAGCGGTAATAAGGACGATATGCCACCAGTTCTAACGGCAAAAAATTCAATCGTTTCATCTGAAACAATGAATATTGAATTACTAAGGATCCAAAGTTTTATTTGGACGTTCAAAACTTGTATCTATCAAGTTATTTTTAATTGTAATTTATAGTTTAATATTCATGCTATCATTTTTATATAGGTTTTGCAAGACTTTTAAAACTGCATTCCTTTATACACCTTTGATAGCAAATCCAAGTATTAGTTGAAATAATATGAACTATTCTAATAAAATTTTCATCGATTGTGTTATTTATTGAATTATTATCATTAATATTTTTGGTTATACCGAACAAGATGATGCGATTTGTCCAGATAAAAAAAAAATATATATATATATATAAACTAGAAAACAAAACTATGAAGCATGTAAAGTAGTATAGGATAAGTATACTGGTTCCTTTCATTTCACCGACAGTACGATTCACCGACATTCAATTCACTGACTAGCCGACAAAGTAATTCTGGTCATTGTGTTAGGATCGACGGGGTAAAATCGCCACCCAAAAGGTTCAAAAAAAAGTTTCGAAATCATGTGATATTGTCAATTCATCATGATTAAAGATCATGATAATAATAATATTTAGTATTAATAAAATATTAATTGATTTAGTAAGTGATGTTTTTTCTTCGATTCTTCAAAATGAAAAGCGATCGTTACAACCTCGAAGCATAAAATCCAATAAACACAATTATAAAAATATACTTGATTGCCGTAACCAAAATTTCATAATAATAATCGAAAAAAG